GGGGGCAGGAACAGCCATTTGGCTTTGACGTTTTCATTTTGTAAACTTAGTCGGGAAACTATGCAGGTTTTAAGAATTAAAAAAGAAAGAGTAAGGCTTGTCTTTCACACACCAGGTATTTATTATTAGAAAATAGCTTCTATCAGCTGCCGGTACCAAACAAGTTGAAAGGAGCGAGCTTCTCCCCTTCATCTTCCTCCTTAATAATATTTAAATAAACAGCTCACTGTGTGGTGAGTGGCCACGCCTTTCTTTTCCCTATTTGAAATAGTAATAAAAAAGGAAGAATTGAATTGCATCCTCAGCAGGACAGCCTTCCTCATGTGTTAAAGAGGTGTTCAGGAAATCCCATACAGTATCTGCTAAATAGACATGTTTGGCAGCTTAGGGAAAATTGTATGAGTGCAGCATCCATGATTTTGAAGTCAAACAGCATTTTGCTTCCTTCTGGCCGAGTTCATGACTCAGGCGATGTGGTAACATGGCTCCAGATGGTCTTAGACCCACAAGACTAAGGAAAGGGCTTTGGGGTGGTGGCTCACCGCAGGGCCCAAGTGCAGAAACTTCCAAACCCCCACGATGGGTCTACCCATTGACCACACGGACATCAAACAATGGTCTCCTTTGAGTTCCTCTTGACTGAGTGGAGCCCCAGCAAGGACTGTTGATGGGAAGGTACATTGACAGACTTTGGAATGAGGAGAATCACCCTCTGATTGGTCCGACGCCATTCATTGTATAATCGGCAGTGGTACCTAAATGACACCTGGGGCAGGAGAGGAAAAGTGAGAAAGAGTTACTGTGGCAGAAGTTGACAGGCAATTAAAAAAATAAGCATGCCATTTAAAACTTTACTAGGGTGGGGCAAGGCCACTGGGCAGGGTTCTCCAGCAAGCAACCTAGTGAGTGCTGGGATGTTGGGTGCTCACCAAGTCCCCTGGGTGGGGCTGGCATGGCTGATTCCTTTTCTTCTCCACATACTCGGAGAGATCAGGAAATGAGCAGGAAAATGAAGTTCTTTCTGAGTTGGGGTTTGTTTCTAGTCTAGTGGTACCCTGGCTCCCAAAGCCTCAGTTGTGAGGAATCCTGACAGGAGAGAGCCTCAGGCCCTTTCTAGCCCCCAAGTGATGCAGGGGAGGGGTGCTGGGACTTCGTGTACTCTTCAGCAGGTTAGACACTGCAGAGTAAAAAATCCCATTCATACTCGGAAACAAAGGATGCCTTTTGGCCTGCTCCGTGATAGTCTGCAAAGCTGTGCTCTGGGCTGACCATGATATGGGGTCCTGTGGTTAATATTGTACTTGTCTCTCCTCATGGACTTCCAGTGTCTTGGGAGCAGAGCTCATGTTGGCCCAGTACTTTCTCACAGTGTTAGACACTTTGGAAGTTGCTGGAATGTGCTGAGTGAATGGGTGAGATGATGCCATGCTTTCTCACCAAAACACTGTTTAAGCTTCAGGACCTAATAGTACCTTAAAGTGCTTGATTTTTATCTAAATGCTCTAGAATGAGACACTGTTTGCTTTAGAAAAGCCTGGCAGAAACTGATGGCTTGCCCAGAAAATTCAGACTGTGTTTTTGAAGGTGTGCTTTGTTGTTGTTGTTTTTAAAAGAAAAGACAGGGTCTTGCTATGTAGTCCTGGCTGGTCAGGAACTGGTTATGTAGACCAGGCTGGCCTCAAATTCACAGGGATCTGCCTGCTTCTACTCCCAAATGCTGGTATAAAAGGTGTGTACCACTAAGCCCAGGCGAAGGCATACTTTTATAATTGGGGGTGAGGACTGGGAGATGGCTCAAGCAGGCCACTTAGCCTGAGGACTTGAGCTCAATTTTTGGGAGCTACATGGTGGGAGGAGTGAACAGACTTCCTCTGAACCTCTTCCACCCACAAGACAGATAAATGAATGTAAAAACAAAACAAAACAAAGCACCAAACTGGGGGAGGGTTCAGTGTGAGTGCATCCAGATTTCTTAGTTTGTGCCATTAGGAAGGTGCCCTGAGCTCAGAGTGACAAATCACCAGTCTAGTCTGTTTAATAGCCCCAGGATGGGGGAGTTCTGAGACCCCAGGAAGGGTCCACGGGAGTGGGCCAATCTGATGGTGTGGATGCAGTTTCTCTGTAAACAAAAGAAGCACAAGCTGTGATGAGAAAGGCTTGTTGGACCAGGAAATCCAATGCCACCATTGAACATCTTGAGGTGAGGAAGCAGATGCCCAGCTGAGTGCCGGGAGGTTTGGGCACGAAAATATAAGCTTTCAACTCTCACAGATGTATTTCTTCCAAAATGGCCAGACCATGCTGGAGTGGATCCATCTTTTTTTTTTTTTTCCCCCTCAAGCCCTGGCTGTCCTGAAAATCACTCTACAGACCAGGCTGGTCTTGAACTCACAGAGATCCATTTTTTTTAAAAGAAAGCTTGATTCTCTTGTATCTACTCTACGATGTTGTTGCTGGTGCTTCCCTGGACCTGAAAGGCAGGTGGGACAGCCTGCTGCTCAGGGCCAAGTGAAAGAAAGACAGGAACAGAAGCAAGTACTGACGGAGGGTGAGCAACCCGAGAAGTCCCGAACCTGGAATCTGCTGATAGCTGGATCTCCAGTCAGCAGGTCCTCAATGCTCAGCACAGTCAGTCACTGGAGTTAGCATGTAGGAAGGGACTGGGGGGCAAGCAGCAGCAGACAGGCACACAGGGCTGGAGTGTCCCTCCTCCACCTAGTGGCTGCCCCCCTTTGTCCACCTGTCATCTGCAAGCTTTAGTTTTCTTGTTTGTAGACTGTGAACCCGAGGTGCTCCTAGAGCACTTAGTACAGTCTTGCATGGACATCAGTGTTCTGGCCCTGGGATTTTTTTTTCCGGATTAGAAATATGAAAAGGATGATAATAATTTTGTGACAGCTTCTTAAGGTACTGGAAAACCAAAGAGAGGTTGATCTGTTTCCTCTAAGCCAGCTCAGTGTGGGAGTGAACCCATTGCAGGTGGCAGCTCCTGGGAGCCTGTTACAACTTGAGAATTTTGGCCCCCACCCAGGCCTACGGAATCAGATATGACCTAACAGAATCCCCACGTGATCTGAAGGGACACTCAAGGGACAGCAGGAGCCAAGGACTTAGCGGTTTCCCTTGTTCTGTGATCACACACATACACTGGCTCACTTGTGTAGACAAACAGATGAGACTATATTAATCTATTTAATTACTGTTAACTACCAAAGTCTGCAGGCAAATTCAATCAATGAGAACATCTTGAAGATGACTTCTCAGGGAAAATAAGGGAAGTTGAACACAAGGCAGAGGAGACTACACGTCTGCAGGGGCCGCAGGCTAATATTTGCTCCTGTTTCCAGATGCTCCAAGATGCCCCCCTCCTTACAGTGAGGTATTATAGTGGGGGAGAGGGAGAGTTCACTTTAGAGAACCGAAGAGAAGTGAGAAGGCTGACAAGATGTTTCGGGGAGAGAGTCAAGAGCCCCGTTCCGATTCTAACCTCTGAGGTTCTCAGGAGAGGATAGAAGGAAAGGGTATAGGGTTGTTATTTTAAAATACTATTGCTTATGGATTGATTTTCAAAGTTTATTCGCTCACTCACCTAAAAATATTAAACTCCTCTGGATCGGGTCTGTTCACAGTGAGCTCTGATCACATGAAGGTTGAAGGAAGAGGATGTTAGCATCCACACCTCCTTTCAGGGAGGCAGCTGAGGTATGGAAGGCCTGTGGTGACATCCCAGCAGCTTTTGGGAAATCTAACCAAATCTTCTCTTGGGGAGTTTTGGGGTGACTAAAGCACATGGATGGGTCCAGGTTCTGGGGTGTCCTTCCTGCAGTGGGCCTAATTCGTATATCTGGCTGTAGCACAGAAGAGATCTGGATTGGCTGTGGAAAAAGCCCTGCTTAGGCCAAATATGCTGACAGAAGCCTGATAAGATCTGGGTGCTTTGGCTCCTGCCTGTAATCCCCTGAACTCCAGAGGCTGAGGGATGAGGATAGCCATGAATCAAGACCAGCCCAGGTCACATAATTCGACAACAAAAACCTTCAACCACAAAGAACAGCCATCCCCCACAAAAAAAAAAAAAAAAAAAAAAAGCCCGAAGAAAATGTAGTTGTGAGCTGCTCCATAGTGAGTGTGGGCTGGCAGGATGTACAACTAGAGACTCCTTGTACATCCAGAATTTAAATGATCAAACCATGGGACAAGGAGTTCAGCCAGGGATTGGTCCTTCATTCATTGGGCTGGGCCTTGCAGCATCAGTAATGTGGCATATGGAGAGATGCCCCGTGCCACCGCACTGGACCCTTCAGCCTGTACAAGGCTGACACCCAGTTCACCAGTGTCTTCATGATACCAGTTCTCAGCTGTCTGTCTGCTCACAGACTTAAATTCATGTATCTTCCCCTAAACCATGGGGAGTGGAGACTCTTGAGGGCCTGGCCTCCTGTGTTTAAGGTGGGTTTCTAGAACACAGCAGATTGCCTGTGGCAGGCCTCCAAGGCCGCATTATTACAGGGCCCTTGTAGCCATGAGTTACCAAAGGCACTTGGAGGTTTGTAGTGTGTCCCTTGTCACAGCACCTGGCTGAGAGGCTCTTTCCAGAAGGGCTCCTCTAAGGAGCCAGGCCTGGACTGATGCCGTGTTTGTTTATCTGAGACATTTTCACAGCATATTCTCCTTAAGCTTGACAGCTTGTTTACAATGGGCTGCTGCCGGAGGGCACTTTCCAAGTGCTGTCAGCTCCTGAATTACGGCTTTTGCCAGGGCTGCTCAGTACGGCATTTATCTAGGAAAGAATTATTCTATATTCAATAACCTATTGCTGAGCTGACTGCACACTGTGTGTGTGTGTGTGTCACACCAGTCAAGGTGGAGGAGAGTCATTCCTTCCCTCTTGTTACTCTGAATCTTCTGGTGGGCTGGGAAAAGGTGGATGTTGGAGGAGCACATTTTCTACCCATTTCCCTAACTATTCATCATCTCTCTCTCCTCGTTTCCCTATCACTCCTCTTCCTTTCTTATCTGGCAGGGGTACACTTTACCGAGCATGTTTTTAAGATCTCAGCTGGTTCTGGAGACCCAACATGTGGGCTTCACCTTTCTTCACTTTCACCACAAGTGAAAGTGTGATAGTGATTTTTCACTTTCATAGTGAATAGTATAGTAAATTTCATAGTGATTTTTCACTATGAAAAATCACAGACCCAGAAAAGCCTAAAATACTGCATAAAAAAAAACAACCAACCAAAAACTCCCCTGTGCTTAATTATTACTTTCCAAAGTAGTTTACTGTGTACTCCTTTGATTCTACCTCATGATACCAGGGGAAGTGGGTCATGATAGGCTCAGAGAAGTGACTTTAAAAGGTGTGCAGTGGACAGAGTGGAATGTAGTTACACTGCTCAACTGGTGTGTGTGTGTGGTGTATGTGTGTGTATGTGGGTGGTATATGTGTGTGTGAGTGGTGTATGTCTATGTGTATGTATGTGGTGTATGTGTGTGTGTGTGTGTGTGTGGTGTATGTATGTGTGTGTGTGGTGTATGTGTGTGTGTGTGTGTGTGTGGTGTATGTATGTGTGTGTGGTGTATTTGTGTGTATGTGTGTGTGTGTGGTGTATATGTGTGTGGTGTATGTGTGTGTGTGTGGTGTATATGTGTGTGGGGGCATGTGTATGTGTGTGTGGTGTATGTGTGTGTGTGTGTGTGTGTGGTGTATGTGTGTGTGTGTGTGTGTGTGGTGTATGTATGTGTGTGTGTGGTTTATGTGTGTATGTGTGTGTGGTGTATCTATGTGTATCTGTGTGGTGTGTGTGTGTGGGTGTATGTGTGTGAGTGGTGTATGTCTATGTGTGTGTATGTGGTGTGTGTGTGTGTGTGTGTGTGTGTGTGTGTGAGGTGTGTGTGTGTGGGGTGTGTGTGTGGGGGTATGTGTGTGAGTGGTGTATGTCTATGTGTGTGTTGTGCATGAGGCCAGAGCATGGTGAGGGGCATCATAATCTATCACAAGCATTATTGCCTTGACATAGGGTCTCTTGATGATCTAGAAGCTCATCTGTTCATCTAGGCTGATTGGCTGTCTCTGCCTTCCTCCCCTAGAACACTCTCTTACAACACCCACAACCATGCCTACATTTTTTATATGGGGTGTTGGGGATTTGAATTCAGGTCCATTGGACTTATGTACTCTTACCCACTGAGCCATCTCCCTAGCCCTGCTTAATTTCTTATTTCTAGCCATTTTCTCATCACAGTGAAAGCCTGGGATCAGTTTCCTTGTTTCATTTATAGTGAAGCAGGACACACTTTAAAAAGCGTGGGCCATCACAGGAGGAAAAACTAGTTTTGTGTAGGGCTTCATTATCTGGGAGTTGAATTTCTTAGCCAACCAGAAGTCTCACTGAGCTCTTGGCATCAGAATGCACCCCGTTTGCTACTGTTTAAGTCATGTCCCTCTTCCAGAGGCTGAAATGTGTCTCCTGACTGTCTGAACATCACCAAGGGAGGGGAGGGCCAGAGCGGAAGAGCTCATGATGACTAATAGGGAAATGAACAGAGGGTCTGATTGGCGACGGAAAGGGGTGGGGAGGGAGGGAGTAGAGAGCCAGGACACAGTGCTATGGGATATGGGAAGGGTGCACTTTTGACAGGAAATACTACTGAATAACAATAGGACGTGCTCAGATTACAACTGAGCCCACACAGAAGACTCAAGCCAGGAAGCAGGAGGCTGGCTGGCCCCTGAACATATTCTCAAGGATGGCAGCCTCCCCCTCAGCCCTTTAGCTCTCACTGGGCAGCACATAGAGGGAGCAAATGGTACGCTTTATGGGTGCCTCCAATCAGCTTATTGCGTGGAGTTAAATGAATGAAAAAGGGAATACTTAAAAATTCTTCTTCATACACAGCAAGGACACTTATTGGGAAATGGCTTTTCTTCAGTGGCAGCGAAAGTCTTCTCAACCAGATAAATTAGTGCTTTTATGGGCAGTGGACTCAATATCCCAACACACGGAATAATCATCAGAGAGCACAGCACCACATCCAGTAAAGACTCCAGACTGTCAGGATGCAGGAAGGAAATAGCCAGTAGGCAGGATTCATGATCTGTGCAGGAGGCTGCAGCGCAGCAATCCTTCATAACCTACCACAGGCCCAGCAAAAGCCAGAAGCAACCACCATGCCTCATACCAGTTGGAATCCTAGTCCACCAGAGAGGAACTACGGGGTGTGGTTCTGAATGGTGAGGGCTGGGAACCTGGGTTTCTTTATTGGATATGCTCTTCCTTGCAGTGTGTTTGTATATACATTCCCACTCATATTCTCAGCGCCCCCAGTGCCTCCAAGCCACACAGGTGTGCCATGCCAGCCTTTGAAGGTCGGTTCTCAATTGGGCAGGTGAGAGGTGCTGTAGACACCAGGGAGGTTTGTACCTGTGGAGAAGTGCTGCCAGTTCTAGCCACCCAAACCCCAGCCACTGACCATACTCACTAGTGTCCAGAAGAGGTAAATAGTGAAGAGTGCCACAGTGAGTGCAATCAGTCCAACGGCCTCCAGCCGACTACTAAAGTGCAGGTGGTCCACGGCGCCCCGCAGGCACAGCCAGCCTGAGATGGTAGCCAGGGGCGTTATAAACAAGAAGCACACCATGTCTCCAAACAGAGTTCGCTTCTCATGCTGGGGGCCAGGGTTTCTGAGCCACTGCCAGAAAAGAAAAGAAAAAAAAAAAAGACAGAAAAAAAGTAAGGAGAAGTTTGGATGGCAGCAGCGAGGGGTGGGGACACATTGCTCTCAAGTTGCCTTTGCTTCAGGGTCTGGACAAAGGCACTCTTGACCCACCTAAGATGATAAGGAAGCATGGAGGGCTTGTTCTCATGCCTCTGTCCCTCGAATAATAATGACTATGACAGTTTGTAATGTCCTTGCTGAGGATGACCTGCTTTCTGTGAAAAGAGTTCAATGGCTGCTGCTATGAATTGCAATGATCCTATGAGGGCAGAGGAAAGGTTACTCTGCTGTGCTCTGCAGTGAGCGGTCCCCCAGATTTTCACATGTGAGGCCATGGTCCCAGGATGGTGACATAGGTACTGTAGAACTCTGGGAGGTGGTGCCTCAAAGGGAGGCAGCTACAAAGGTTACCAGGGTCATGGCATCCAAGGAGATTATGGGATGTGGGTTTCATTCCTTTGCTTCCTTAGGATGAGACCACTTGCTCTGACCTGGATACGCTGCCTCATCAGAGGACCAAAGCAATATGGCTGCCAACCTTGGCCTTGCACCCTCAGAACTGAGGGCTTGAATAAAACTTTCCTCTTAAGTATTAATTGCTACAGGGATTGCCTCTCAGTGATGGGGAGCTGACTGCTGCAGACGGTAACAGCCAAGGTGTGAGAGCTGTGTACATGCACCCTCGGCTTTCCTGTATCTTGACTTGGGAGAGTGTGTGCAGAGGAGGGTTAGCTCAGCTGGCCCCTGTGTCCTCACTTAGGATCACCTCTGACTCCTTGATAGTGCTTCGAGAGTGTGCGGATAGACCAGGATGAGCATGTCTTGTTGAAGGACTATGAAGAAAATATGGACTGCTGTCGTCCCACTCGATAACTGCTGAAGACCTGGAACTGCTTCCCCAAGCACAGACTACAGAGGATTACAATGCAATTCTGCATTTACATATTGGTGTCAGCATTTTCCAGAAATGGAGTCCAGTGGTTTCTGTAAGATTAGCATGAATGCACAACCTAGTACACTTGTCCCATGTAGTGAAGAGGCCAATTAGGCCTGAGAAGTGGGGTTCTGTAGGACAGGCGGTGGGATGGGGTGGATTGACATTGTGTACTCTGTCTTCCATCGTGTCCCCACCAACAAACAAGTGCCTGCATTGTCTGTCTGTTGGCACATGCCCAGAACTGCCATTTGATGGCACCAAACAGAAGCCCTGCAGGGTGCTGAGTAGAGATTCCCACCTGGCCAGGGCAGTAATTCCTACAAAACTGTGATGGGCTTACGAGGGAGATGGAATGACTGGAGAGGGAAGGAAGGGAGGGTCATACATGAGGACAGAAACAAAACACAGTGGCTGCACAGAGGGAAGGCAAGCTGGGGCTGGCATGGCAGAAACCTCAAGAATAAACAGAAGGGGCAGGAGGACAAGGCACAGAACAATGCCTGTGGGAGGGGTCCTTCCCTGTGGTTGCCTGGATCCTAGCACACCAGCTTCTAGTGATCACCCCCCGGAATACTGGGTGAGAAGTCAACGTCAGCTCAAAAGTGGGCATGAATTACCATTAGGACACAGATAACAGGGAGTCCGCTTGTTTGTGGATATGGATCCCACATTATGAATATTTAACACAAATACCCAAATGATCAGGTGCAAATACATTAACCCTGCCATGTGCTGTGATGCCACCTCACACAGTTCAGCAGCTTCAAAGAGCTCTCATTAATTAACATTTTTCTTGCCTAAATACTGGCACTACCCCTAAGAAGTAAAGGATATACACAGGTCATTATCATCCCAATTTTACATACTCTGTAAGGTTGAATGATTGAACCATGTGACCCAGAGGCTGCAATGAGGAGATGACCCATCAGGCTCTCTCCATTCTCCATGTCATCTGAATACATGATTAGTAAAATATTTGGAAATTTAAATTGCAAGACATTACTTAGGCTCCTAAAACAACGGTGCCCAAGGTTTAGCGGAGCAGTCCCTTTAGAGCTGGGTTTTCCCAGACAGGAAGTTGGTACACTCACCTCTGCACCCGTGGTTGCAGGAAGACGGTCCTCAGTAAACATGCAACTGTGTGCGGAGACTGGCTCACTTCCTTGGCTACGACTTCCCTTTCTTTTACTGGGAAATTCTGGACATGTTTTATTTATTTAGAGACAGGGTCTATGTATCTCTGGTAGGCCTAGAACTTGCTCTGTAGACCAGGCTGTCCTCAAATTCACAGAGATCCACCTGCCTCTGCTTCCCAAACACCAGGAATAAAGGTGTAAGCCACTACTCCTGGCTGGCCATATTTTACTAACATTAATTTGTTATATTACTATCTATAAGCCTTCTGACAATGCCCTGTGCAACAGATGGTCCAGATATGGAAGAAAACAATTACGAATCAGTGTTTACTTGATAAACATGTTAGATTTCTATTATTTATTTATTTATTTATCTAATCTATCTTTGTGTGTGTGAATGTATATGTGTGCATACAATGGTGCACAGTAGAGGTCAGAGGACAGACATGGGTGTTGGTCCTTTCTTTCTACCTTGTTTGAGACAGGGTCTCTTAGTTTACACTGGTGGGTGCACCAGGCTAGCTAGTACATGAGCTACTGGGATTTTCCTATATCTTGACTCTGTCTTCCTGGAGTATGGTGGGGAAGGGAGGATTACAGATAGATATCACTATGTCTGCCTTTATGGGGTTCTAGGGATCCAAACTCTTGGTCCTTATCTGTACACATGGCAAGTGCTTTTACCATGGAACCATCTCCCCAGCCCTATATTTATCTGGTAAAACAAAGACACAGAGCCTGATCGTGCAGCTCAGTGGAAGAGGGAATGAAAACTCTGGACAAGGCCCTGGGTTCAATCCTCACTGCTTCCCTTCCCCCATAAAAGTGAAAACAAGTGTGTGACAGGCACAGTGGAAACTGCAGCTGCCTAACCCCGTGTCTTGTGTTCTAATTGTTCTCGGATTTTCTGTTCCCTAGTTTAGCCCACTTTGTATGTCTCCAATTGTACTTGTTAGTACTGCTCTTGGGAAGACCTGCTTACTTTGCTGATTATATTTTGATGAGGCGTTCTTAATACTCTTATGCAAAATATGTGTTTTCTTTGAACCCCATGTGTTACTCTGCCTTTCCCTCTCTGAGCAAGAAGAGTGGCAGTAATTTGCTGTTGAGAAAGAACACAAACACCTATACACACCAATATAGAGGTCTCCATTCAAGTAGAGTTTGTAACAGAATATTTGATTAGTTTCAATTTCTAACACTATGAAATGATCTAAATCAATTGTAGAATTTACTTAAAATCGTATTATCATGTGATAATTTATAAACATGGTATACTGCTGAGCAGAAAAACTCTTCTGGACAGAATATATACTCCGAGTCTATGAATGCAGATATATCTACATGGACAAAGAAACTTAGGTTTACTTAGACATGGTATATTGCATGGACATGACTAGAGGGATACTCAACAAAATAGTAGCTATACCTGGCATGAAGTGGTTTTAAGATTTTATGAAACATATTTTGTTTTCCGGAAGTGAGTATGAACCATATAGCTGTATCTACATATCCTTTGTACAGAACATATATACACACAAACACTCATATTTGGAGAGAGTGGGGAAGGGAAGGGGAAGAAGAAGAGATGGAAAGAGAGAGGGGAAGAGACAGATAAAGAAATAGAGAAGGTGAGAGAGGGAGAGAAAGGGGGAGAGAATGAAGAGTAACAGACAGTGGGGTAGGCAGGTGTCTAGCTAGTGCACAGCTCCAAAGCACTAAAACACTATATGGAGTTACAGCTGGGGCAGGCTCAGTGCTAGGAATTTGGTGTTTATTGTGCATCATCTCACAGAGTGCTTACAACAGAGCTATGGAATAGAGCCTACAGTATTCCCCACTTCACAGATACAGATATGGTGGAGCAGAGGACTTCATAACCTAGCTAAGGATAGCCAGCCAATGAGAGTTAGAGGTGGGATTCAGACTAGCCTCTACTTGTTGTTCCTTGATTTCCATATTAACATTTTCATTTTACACCAAATGGTAACTGTGTGTGAGTACATGTGTATGCTAGGTGTTTTTTTCAACTTAGGTGAGACATGGTAAGTCATGCTAATTTTATGGTGTGTAAAGCAGGGTGTAGGGGGATGTAAATCAAGTTGCTGAATGGTTGGCTGCCCAGGATGTGATCATGGTAATTTTACAAAATTTTCTGGGCTGCTGCTTTGATCTATGTTAATTCTTTTATCTAACTAGAATGGGGTCCAATTTCTGGGCATTTAATCTCACATTATCATGCACATTGGCCTAATTCATAACAGGCAAAGGGTTGATCTCAATTACTGTGCTTTGCTTTTCTGGTTCTTTGTATGGCTTCTGCTTCTCTGTCAGTCACACTTACCGTATACCGAGGGAGGTGCAAATTCTGCAGTGGTGCTTCATCTCCAGCAAACCGAAGCAGGGAAGGTACAAGCAGCCTTGTTTTTCCTGCTGGGTGTCATCTACACTAGCAGTGCCTAGGACAGTGCTGGCCGAATACGAGGTACTTAACCTCAACCAATGATAGCAGTTTGTTTCCTGAGCCCTTACTATATATGCCCAGCATTATCTTATATGTGACATGTGATAACTCATACAACAGTTTTTGAAGGAGGTAAGGTGTATGAGAAGGGTCTTGGCTTCTGTCTCGGGTAGTCTAGCTCTAATGAGTGTGTCCATAACCATTCTACTGTATCCTCATCCTTGGCATCCTTAGGTGAGAGAGAACGATCACACTTAATAGTTCTTATCAGTACAAAGAACATGTGCTCATGGCGCTTGTCCCGGTGTGAGACAGCACCATGGTCACCAGTGCTGAATGGTTTAATCTTCCTCCTCAGCTCACACTTGGTGGTTAGTTGCATTTTAAAGACTAAGGTCACTGCCAAGGGTATACTAATCAGTTTGGAATCTTTCAT